GTTGAATGCGTGAATAGGTAACGGAGCTATTGTGTGATCGCCAACAAACAACTTTGCAAACAGCTGTTTCGTTCATGTTTTTATTCGTCAGTAGGGTGTACTTTGTATCCCGGCCGCAGTTCGAATCCCGGGTAAGGACACTAAATTTACGCGCTGCCGTTCAGTTATTACAAGGATGAGATAGCTGTTTACAGTGACCCTGTTGGCCATGAAATAATAATTTCATCATAAATAACTCCATCAATGTGTATGCAAACAATCGGTAGGGGAACTCAGAGCCAAAAAAGACTTGTGAAGTATTATCGCAATACTAAAGCATCAACGGCTTAGATACATTCAGTAAATGCAAACGCATTAGTGACTATCATTGTATGTGTGTATGCATACATGTATGCATGCATGTATGTATGTACGTATGTATGTGTGTGTATGTATGTATCTATTGGCGTATGTATGTATGTGTGCCTATTTCCGTTTATTTGTGCTTAAGTGTTTGTAAATATAATTCAAAATCAGAACCATTACATATTAGTTGCGGTATATTAGTGTTCAGTTCCAGCCCTCTCTAAACACACGGGGCATTCCTCCTCCTCCTTGGCTTCTTTTAATAAGGTTTGTATGTTGGAGAAAGACGATTCCAGTGAACAGGAGACCGGCACCTTAAACTCGCACTCGATTCGATAAAAACACTTAGGAAACACCAAAAACCGATAGTACAGTTGAGGGAGCAGATGAACACAAGCGGTGGATCCCATGATACGACACTATTATTGCTTTGCGGGGCCTGAGGAGGGAGCAGTAGACAAGCGAGAATGCTGTCTTGCGAGCTCAGCGATGAAACACCGCACCCATTTATCCTATATATGTGTGGTAATCTATATCACAATCGATAAACTCAGAAAATTCGCAACTTTGAAATTCCGTCTGTGACTCATATGCGAAAGATGAACGGAGTAATAACGCCAAACAGAACCGTCACGAGCGTACGAGTCGAACAGATCATCCCAATGGGTGGAGCGTATTGCACACAATCAGGTGCACCGGTACAAGTTCAATTTCATACATGACAAAATCGCCTGTGAAAAGCATACAAGAATAGTAAAAAGCTGATGTGCACACACACATGATACATGTTGAATTTTTTGCATTTGACTAGCAAAAAAACATGCACAAAACATACTTCTATTTGATGCGTATCTGAGTACTCTGTACAGCAATGCAGTCAACATATGTATTATCAGCTTCTTATCAACGAGATGCGGGAGAGTAAGTTAAACTACAATGTAGGTTTATCTGTCAATCGTACCATTCTTAGTCGCATTGCAAAGGAAAATATTTGGCCCTCATTGAAGCGCTCACATGTTCTTATACATTTTTATGACACACCTGAGTGTGATGCATAGCAGACGTGGAGAACCCCATAGTAATGAGGACCTGCTGTTCAATGGTGGAGACCGGCAACCTAAGCCCCGGGGCTTGGAGTGGTGAACCACATAAGGCCCCGATGGGTTAGGCGTGGTATTGAACCGAACGACAGCAGAGCTGCCTACTACCAAAGTCGGGTGGCGTTGGCGGGATTCGAACCTCGGATCATAGGGTCTAAAGTACACCGGTGACAGCGACTAAACCACTGCGCCA